CAACCCAACTGAGTAAATCCTCTGTATCCACCAACCTGGTTAAAGTACTGAACGTTCCATTTTCACCCTCTCAATTTTGTAAACAACAGTAATCCTTCGAGGAAGCAGTCATTCGAATTTCTCTGGCAGTGGCTGTATACGCAAGGCCATGTGAGAGCATTTGTAGAGGGAGAGATAACGTTCCCCATACTCGAGTTCCCTTTTCCCCTTCTCAATTTCGTAAACAACAGTAATGCTACGAGAAGGTAATGAGTAAGACTTCACTGTCAGTGGCTGTACGCACGTGGTCATGTGAGAGTATTTCGAGTGGCACAGCGGACTCTACTCACTCTCGACCTTTTCAAGTAATTTGGGAGCAAAAATAAATAGCGTTCATAGATTTTCGCCTATACCGTTATTTGGAAAACAGTGAGCTGTTTCGATTCTCTACTGTCTTTCTGAAGTCATTTCATTAATGGATTTTCTTTATTTGTATATTTCTTAACGAAATAGCTTACTATTCAATATAGATGTATTTAGACTACTTATTACAATGTTATAAGTAGTTGAAAAATCCTGTCGTAGTTTTATTTTTCAAAACTTCAACGTAATTTTTAATGGAAACTGAGTTAACAGACCCTTTGTTTGTGTACTCAGATATTGTTATGTGCATTTAATATTTGCAGGAGTTTTACACTATAGAACAGGTTCCTTCAATCAGACAATCCATGTTATGAACGAATGGATCACTAAGCAATAGGATAAGCAGAAAATGCAATCACTTTGCAAGCAAAGACGGATAGTGGCTAGCAGTGGAATCCAGGACGTGCGTTTCGTTTAGTTCTTATCGGTTATTTAATAATTTCTACAGATCACAGTTCTTTCAAAATTGTCTCTATGGACCGTTTTAGCTTGAAATCCAAAGGTATGAGGCTAGAAAGCTTTTCTATACGGTATGGATACTAAACTATTTAAATGAAGACTCTAAAGTGTTGGGTAAATTTTCAACTTTATCTATTATCAGATAAAACGAGAAAAGTGCAACCTCTTCTAAATACACACGTTTCAAAATGCAAATTATCTGAATGTGAGGTTGTGGGGATTAGCGATTTTCTTCGTGTTGGTTTTCTACGAAATGAGGTCGCTAACCTCTCCGTTACCATAAAAATTTGATTATTGACCAATAGGAGAAATAGACACAACAACTTATATGTAAATATCCAATTTTGTGTTATGATGACTGGACTATTCCTTGAATTCTTCTGAAACCAGAAAAGTGCTTTGAAAATTACTTTGATAAGATACCATTTTAGTGGTTGAGATCATGTGTCGATTGAAGCTAGACCAACATGAGAAACCTGAAAGCGCTGGATGGCCTTTTTTTACTGTGCTACTTTTCTACAATCCAATTAACTTATAATGAACTGTATATGTTGAGTGTATGATGATTCAAAGGGTTGTATCAAACCGTATAATATTAATAATAATCAACAGTAACTCATAATCATTCCACCTTCAACTGAATGAATCAAAATTCCTCAATCATACGTTTTCTGATAGACATCAAGTCAATTATATGGACTTTATTTGGCCAAATCTGTTCGCATAGGAAATTCGGAATTGTTACCATTGACTAATTCACTTCATGAGAGTAAATTATATAACGAATTGGAGTGTTGAAAGTATGGAGTATATGATGAATACTTGCTCCGTAAACTATGAAAATAGGTTTCATGTACTTTAACACCCATCAGTAAGATCTATCTATAGTCTTGAGGGTATTGATGTTACTTTGAGGATTCGAACCAGGGTCATACAGCTTTATAGTCCATGACATAACCACCTAGATATTCACGCGTCATGTGGACTTAAGAAAAACTACCTCCAACCAAACAATATTTCACTTTAGTCATCTTGGCAGAGAGTTCCTGGATTCGAATCCCACGTGTGAGGTCATGATGGCGCACTGTTGGGTTATTAGTATTTTACAAACACATTCTTGTTCTTCAATATTAATTACAGTTGACATCCTAGACTCATTTTGAATAGTTGATCATTAAAAATTAAATATCTTTAGACTGCGGTTTTGTCTTAATATGAGACTTGTAAGCAGTGAGTATTCATGATCTAATACAGGATAACTGTATGTTACAAAAAGTCCTCAAAATACTTGTCCAGGCTGTAGTTTAGTTAGCTAATATAATCAGAAGGAGGGTTTTGTAATGATTGTGGTGGTATTCAGTATTTGCAATCAAATTTCTAGTTCATTTATATGTCAATACTACTTAAATGAATGTGATTTTCATTGGAAATTTCTCTATAGGCATAACTATGTTCTTTATGACATGCTGCCAATCAGTGGAATAAGAAACACAGATTCAATAATGAATAGAGCTTCAAATGTAATGTTTAACGAGAAATATTTTTTAGTATGTAACATGAGAGAAAAAATGACTAATGGTAGTGATTAAGACACAACCACCTTTGAATGACGTTAAAGTCCACTTCAGAGTATTCACCTAATAATCAGGACTAAATGAGTATTATAAACCAGCGTGAAGAACAAAGATTATGATTTACAGTTGATGACTGAGGTAAGGAACTAGACGAAGGGAGTTTTCATCACGACCTGACATGAACTACAACGCCAAAAACTTTATTTAGCCAAATGGAAGAATGAATTTCGTGCTGAAATCCAGGACTTATTCTCTCATCACTTTGCGATCAGTCAAAATGTCAGAACAGTCGAAGTGTCACACGAGGAACCACAGTTTAAAATCCCATGTCAACTATTGTGAATAGATTTATACCATACTGACATTTGTTAGTCAGAATCAAAGTAGTATTTAATTTATCTCATGAGGTGATTGAAAGGTAAATTATGCAAACCATCTACCAATTAACGTTACTGAGTTTCTTTTTTTTTGAAACATTCTTTTTGAAGGTTGATGAATAATCGAACGAATTCAAATAAGTAATCCAGTGATAAACAACAACGAATCAAAAGTATAATTTTAGTTGGTTTGATCAATAAATCAATTAAAATGATTAAACGTCTTTTCATTGATTTCACTAATGATACAAATTTGGTAAACCAAATATATTACACTTCCATTAGGGAGAAAGACAGAGGAGGAGAAGGAGAGAGTTATTCAAAAAACAATACAGAAACGGATATAAATACAGTTACAATAAATTCAACTGAAAATTCATGATCTACATTTGATATTCAATTGATAATAGATTTCTAAGACTATCAACTTTCATTGTTATTAAATATCATAGTTTCTTATTGCTTAACAAACTGTTATCATTCCATGGAAACTATGAGTTGTTTCTTTTTTCTTTTTTCTTTTTTTTTGATGTCTGTCAGTTACATTACAATAATCGATATAACTATCATAGTTGTATTAATGTTAGGTTTAAAGCTCCACGAGTTCACTTAATCTGTGAACGAGAACAAGACTTAGTGACCAAGGATCAGTAATCTAGCTACCGTTACGTTCCAAACCACGTTATCTAGAAGGAGAACTCCAAGCCTGGTATAGTGAAGTATATATATAATCGATATTGTCATGGGAAATTTTTTAACATTAATCGATACGTTCACCAGTTGACCTATTTGAACATTCAACCGATAAGTTAATCGATAAGATGAAATCACAAAATATGAGTCTTGGGGATATATCGTTGCCAACAATTAAGGAAAAACAGTATATGTTTAAGCATACTTATAGATATATGATTGAATCATATAATGTTAATCTATAAATATACAAACGAATTCAATTAGAGACAATATGGTTGCTGGCAATATACATCGAAAAGAATGAATATTATTTCAATGTTAATTCCTCTACTGTTAAAATCTAATTGGTGATTACTCGATATTTATTGTCAGGATCGATTAAAATGTAGGAAAGGGAAACTTGTTGAGATATTTGTACTGACAAGTCTATATTGTACCAAAATCTAAAAAATTGAATAAAGCTTATAATAATAATAATAATGAGTAGTGTATTCAGTGATACGTAGCCTACTGGAAGAAATTCATTATCGTTACTGAGATTTACTCAAAATTACTTTTACATCCCTACGCGTAGACAAGATAGTACTAAGCTGTTTAATACTAAAATATAGTGAACTCGAATAAATGATAAGTCTACAAAACAAATTAGAATGTTGCTTTTAATGTTAGTCAATCTAAAAACGAATAAAACATTACATGATTCCTATGTTAAATTATAACGGTCTATCTTATATTAAAACAGTAATGACTCACTTTGTCTAAACTAAACAACATACTACTAGTTACTAGTAAAGTTGGTCATAGTTCATTTGAACATCAGTAAGCCAATGAATGTAAGATTTAAAACAAATGGATGTTAGTTAAAGCCACGACATCACAAGATGAAAACTGGAAGGATAAACAACACAGCATCAAGGATAACATAGATGACAATCAGAAAGAAAATACTAGACATTAAGAATATAACTCAAAAATTCAAGAAATAGCTGAACTCAAAACCTAAAAGAAGATAAAGAGTAAATAAATCTGCGTCATTCTGATTGATTGTGTATTATATCATGCTATTCCTCCAGCTACTGATAGCGGTTGTTGAGTGAAACTCAACCAAAAAATAATATATATCAAAATAGTTCAGATCAACACTAAATGTTTAATTGAAACATCATTTACCCATAATGGATTATGCTACTAAATAACTAATACTAAACTATACTATAACATGTAAGATAAGTTTGGAAAATTACTCCTAAAACTGTAGCCTCTGAAAGGATGAACTATTTTGTACATCAGTGATTAGTTATTATTTACTTTATTAGTTGTCATATAACAATGAAACTTAAATATGAATATCGATTATGTAAACACATGAATTAGTTTGTATGGCATGAACTGCCCTTAAATGTATCATTCATTTATTATTCTCAGTAAATTATTAAGATCAACCACATATATATATTAACCAATATTTCTTGATCTTATCTTTCAATATAATCTATAATTGTGATGATGATGATGATGATGATGATGATGATGATGATGATGATGATGATGATGATGATGATGATGATGATGATGATGATGATGATGATGATGATGATGATGATGATGATGATGATGATGATGATGATGATGATGATGATGATGATGATGATGATGATGATGATGATGATGATGATGATGATGATGATGATGATGATGATGATGATGATGATGATGATGATGATGATGATGATGATGATGATGATGATGATGATGATGATGATGATGATGATGATGATGATGATGATGATGATGATGATGATGATGATGATGATGATGATGATGATGATGATGATGATGATGATGATGATGATGATGATGATGATGATGATGATGATGATGATGATGATGATGATGATGATGATGATGATGATGATGATGATGATGATGATGATGATGATGATGATGATGATGATGATGATGATGATGATGATGATGATGATGATGATGATGATGATGATGATGATGATGATGATGATGATGATGATGATGATGATGATGATGATGATGATGATGATGATGATGATGATGATGATGATGATGATGATGATGATGATGATGATGATGATGATGATGATGATGATGATGATGATGATGATGATGATGATGATGATGATGATGATGATGATGATGATGATGATGATGATGATGATGATGATGATGATGATGATGATGATGATGATGATGATGATGATGATGATGATGATGATGATGATGATGATGATGATGATGATGATGATGATGATGATGATGATGATGATGATGATGATGATGATGATGATGATGATGATGATGATGATGATGATGATGATGATGATGATGATGATGATGATGATGATGATGATGATGATGATGATGATGATGATGATGATGATGATGATGATGATGATGATGATGATGATGATGATGATGATGATGATGATGATGATGATGATGATGATGATGATGATGATGATGATGATGATGATGATGATGATGATGATGATGATGATGATGATGATGATGATGATGATGATGATGATGATGATGATGATGATGATGATGATGATGATGATGATGATGATGATGATGATGATGATGATGATGATGATGATGATGATGATGATGATGATGATGATGATGATGATGATGATGATGATGATGATGATGATGATGATGATGATGATGATGATGATGATGATGATGATGATGATGATGATGATGATGATGATGATGATGATGATGATGATGATGATGATGATGATGATGATGATGATGATGATGATGATGATGATGATGATGATGATGATGATGATGATGATGATGATGATGATGATGATGATGATGATGATGATGATGATGATGATGATGATGATGATGATGATGATGATGATGATGATGATGATGATGATGATGATGATGATGATGATGATGATGATGATGATGATGATGATGATGATGATGATGATGATGATGATGATGATGATGATGATGATGATGATGATGATGATGATGATGATGATGATGATGATGATGATGATGATGATGATGATGATGATGATGATGATGATGATGATGATGATGATGATGATGATGATGATGATGATGATGATGATGATGATGATGATGATGATGATGATGATGATGATGATGATGATGATGATGATGATGATGATGATGATGATGATGATGATGATGATGATGATGATGATGATGATGATGATGATGATGATGATGATGATGATGATGATGATGATGATGATGATGATGATGATGATGATGATGATGATGATGATGATGATGATGATGATGATGATGATGATGATGATGATGATGATGATGATGATGATGATGATGATGATGATGATGATGATGATGATGAGTTGGATGACGATGCTTTGAGTGATGAATTGCATGAGGATGATGATTGTTTGAAACCATCACTGCAATTCCATACCCTTTTACTTTACATATGAAGCCTGTTGTTCTATTGAAATTGTTTGTGAGTTTTATTCTATTGATTTCAGATTTCCCTAATTTTCTCGGTTCAATTAATTAATGATCATGCAATTCATCATCATCATCCAATTCATTATCGTAATAATAATAATAATACTAATAGTAATAATAATAATAATCCAAACCATCATCATTGGGAACTAAGTGTAAACCGTTAAACGTTATCCTCTATAAGAAGCATTTCAAAAGTTTATGTGTAGTGAACGAGAACACATATGTGGATAATCACAGCGTCTAAGTAGTATCTGAGAGCTGTACAGCAATAACTTCATTTGTAAAATATCAATAAATCGTCTCATAATTCACTCTTCTCGTTCTTATTTCTTTCATCTTTTTAACCGTCTTCAACTTGATATTTCACTTTCTATTGATGATACATACTACTTATATCTGTCTATATCAGTAGCACACATCATTCAAGTAATTATATGAATGATGGTACAACTAAATTTGTAAGGTTCAGAAAAATGACAATACTCCAAAAGAAACTGATATATTTTCACTGAGAGGTAGTGGAATTCGGATTTACATGGAAAACAATTTGGTTTTAAATAGTAAAGCTAATCTGAATGGAATATTTACCATAAGATTAAAAGGGACCATAAAAAGATACAAATAATGAATTTCCTTAAGAAATTTCAAACTACATGACAATACTACTTATTTCTTCGACAGATTAGTAGGCAATAGGCACTAGACAATATTCTATTAATAATGAGACTATAATTTATGGATGACATTCGAGTGACCCTAAAATGAACTTTCAGAATATCCACCTAATTACTAAAGCTAAATGAGTATTATTAACCTGTGTGAAGAAATATAGATTATGAATCATTGTTGATGGTTAAAGGTTAAGAATCAGATCCAAGGTGGGGGGGTTAATTGCGAATTGACATAAGCTATAATGGTAAGACGTTATTTAGTCAAATGAATGAATGAAGTTCGTGCCAATATCCAAGACCTGTTATCTTAAATCTGATTGATTCATCCATAAATTATAGTCTTAACTTAGTATCATAATAAACTTCCAAAGTATTCATCAAAGGTATAATTTTATTCAAAACTTGTTGATTGAGGTTGGTATAAAGAAGTTTCAAAACAGACAAACATATTTTCATCGAAGGATCTCAACAACGAAAGTCAACCAATTACCAGTCCGTGGTCAACTAGTAGAAAACTCTCGATATCTCAAAATATCATTTACGGTGATGAACTGGTCAGTTCAGTTCAGTCAGTCAGTCAGATACAGCGTAGGACCAAAAGTATATATACGAATCGGCCCAAGTTGCCATACATCATTAGTATACCAAGATGAAAACCGAATTCATAGAAGTAGTTCATCCAGTGATGGTGGTCTCACACTCGAATGCCTATAACCTATAGACCACTGAGCTGGTCGACATCTAACGGTGGTAATGTCTAAATTTAACTAATCTACTAATCGATGCTATGATTATCATTTTCTTCCATACATTATACATCTATATATATTACTTCCTGACGTGTGTTCTTTAGCTTTCCTATCATCCGTTTCGCTTCAAAATTCTAAGGTATTACTTGCTTCGTGATGAATTTTGGCGAGTTCTTCATTGTATGTTTTATCCACTCCCAACATATTTTCCTAATTTCAGGATAAAAAGTTTGTGTAAATTTTTAAAGTTTATTATTGGTTACATCATCTATTGACTTCAACTGTAGACTTCATTAGATAGTGAGGCTCTTCAGCTATACACATCTGTGAACTGAAATCAAGGATATCGACAACGATACTAGGTTCGAGTCCCATAGTGAACATCAAGTCAGTGATGATGTTACATCCAACTGACAAGTTCAAAATAGGACGAAACACGCGTCAAACTGTGTTCCACTACCAGCCACTATCCATCTTTGCTTAATTAAGTATTTGGCTTGTTAAGAGGGATAAATTGTCGTGACTTTGTCTCATTTGAAAAGTGTTAGAACTGTCCGGGTGAAACGAATATAAAATAATACCAAGCGAATAATAGAAATGTAACACTTCAACTAATCTCAATTTCTCTTTGTTAATCAAAAGATGTTTGTCTTATCTTAATTCATAGTCATACAGAATAATTGAGCAGTATCCAATGCTGTGTTTACCCAGTCTTTGGCGTTGATCAAATACGACAAGCGCTTAATAAACTAGATATCAAAAGTACAAAGATGAAATATCATGTGGTTGGAAGTAGTTTTTCATAAGTCTAAATGACGTGTGAATAGCCCGGGTACGTGGTTAAAGCTGAATGACTTGGTTCGGATCCTCAAAGGAACATCAATACCCTAAACATTGTAGATATATCTTACTGATGAGTGTTAAATAACATGAAACGTAATTGCGTAGTTATCTACTAACTACCTTCAACTACTTCACATTCATATTTCTTTATTATATTTATTAATGAGTGTTAAGTTTGTCTTATATTGTTCCTAATCACTCCCTTTCTACTCCTTTATATATTGTGTTCTGTACTACTTATTTACATTCAGTAAGCAGTTGTAATCACAAAAGTCTTTACACTTAAGTTGTAATGCAAGTTGTAGTGTAATATTCTGAAATATTCACATATACTTATAACGTTTATTGGACTTATCATTGTATTTATCATTATAATTACTGTGGCTTAATGACTGTAGTGGGTATCCACATTTTCCATGATGTTTTGCTTTTGGTTCGGGTTTCGGTTGTTCATAAACTGTTATCAAATTTAAACACAGCTATCAACCGTCTTTTGTACTATCATATGCTGTAATTATTCTTTATGTTACTGTTACAGGAAGCCTTTTTATTTACATACTTGAACGACGTGTTTAAACGCTCCAGACACTTCACAAGTTGAGGTTTATAACTACATTTTGTGTATTATTCAATAAAGAATCGCTATAGTAGAGAAATCCTTGTTTTGGAAACTGCGCTCTTGCGCGTATCTCAATAAGGTGACTTGGATGCTTCGATAGATCTAACATTGAGGAAGTTTGATTCATTCCATTAAAAGTGGAATGATTATGAGTTATATCGTGATACAACCCTGAGAATGATCATACACTTACTTTTCTAATCATAGAAATCAATGGGATAGTAATTCAAGTTCACAGTATATGGTTTGTCAGTAGGTAATTGATCGATGTACATTATGTAATAATTGTGTATTCATGGTAGTAACAATGATTGAGGTCAATAGTCAGAATGAGGTATTACTAGTTTGTATTCTATTCTCGTCCTCTTATTTTCGATTTTCCAAATTTTCTGTCTCCAAACATTCCACTTTCGATTAGTGATACATACTACCTATAAATGTCGAAATTGAGTAGCACACATCACACTAAAACTACCGACATCCTACTCGAGATGTGAAATTTGCTGACTGAGATACAGATGAAGACATTACTGTGTAGTGCACAATTCATTAAAAAATTCTTCTCAATGATCAGAGCTGAAAACGATGAGGCATTATTCATCATATTGAAAACTATCTGCGTGGAATCCGGTATTTCAATAGTTTAAAACCTTCAAGAGCAAACGTATGTGATCACGTATATTGTTCAACACAAACCAATGTACACACTGTCAGCAAGTCCGAACCATTGCTAGTAATTATCCTATATGAGGTCAGCTTGTAGATGATAACGGTATCAATACATCTGAATTGATTAAATTCAGTCATTAATATCAAAAATGACAATAAAACCCGTCACAATCAGTAGAACGAAACAGTTATTAGATCTTGATAAATGAATTCATGAGTCAATGTATGCTAGACCATATACATGAATCAGTTGCAAGGTGGTTATGATTAGAGTAGCCCGTAAATAATAGCCTGAAAAGAGATTACGCAATGGTGAATTGGATAACAATATTGAATGTATTATTCCGAAGATCGTGTTGAATGAAGTCATTCTCTATATGTATCTATATAATCTGGACACTTAATAAGTATACAATAGAGTTATAGTCGATGGACATTAGAGAGAACGAACTTCAGTTTTCACAATATCCGTTCTGTTATCGATTTTCATTCGATGTTGACAGACAATCAAATTAGACATAGAAATTCACGATTCATTTACGTAACTAAAGACAGATGATGCCTATCCACGGTTCATTTATGTGTATTCGATCGCAAACGTCTGGGTATTCCAAATATTTTTAGTTGAATTACGCTTTCACTAAAGATAAAACATTATTCAGTTTAGATTTAATCTGAGAATCTATATTACCCTACATATGTACATAGATGTCAGTTATTTCCAATGATATCTCCTTGAAACATCCATACATTTTGTCATTGTCAAGTGATACATCTTTTCTCATATCTTTAAACAGTGTGATAGATGAAAGATTTCATTACATTACAGGGTTGTGTAATGATAGAAATATTAGTGATGATTCCCAAATTCTTTGGAATTTCGTCAGAATGACGTTGATCTCATTGTCATATGTTGAAAGTATCGATTAAACACGAATCTTATTTGATTTCGTGAACACAGAATTCAAAAACCGTGTTTCATACACATAATTCCCTGTGCAGGTCATCCATGTCATGTGTAATGCTGTTGCTCATCGGGAACAATAGAGCATGGTCGCAAAATGTTGTTGAAGAGTCCCATTGTTGATGAGAACGATCGTTGACTGCTTCCAGGTATTCAATGTTCATCTAACATTATTCGATTCATCATCTTAATTGGTCATAACACCTGCAATATAAGTATGATTAATAATGGTAGAAGTCAATGATGACTAAAATTATTTGAATTATAATACGAACTAAGAATCCCAGAAATAACGCAATTGAATCAAGAAGTACCACATAAGCACGAACGAATGTATTGTATTTAGAATCCCAATCAAGAACAAAAAGAATCGTTAATTCATACAAACACCACAAAGCAGTAAAAACGACGGGAGTATTTACAATGATTAAACAATCTTATGTTGAGTGTCTACAGTTGTTTTAGCGGTAGTAGTGTTAGTATGAGTAGCTTTAATAGTACAAGGTTAATTAAAAGCTAAATTTTTCTGAAACAAGTGATCACTTTATGTTTACGAAGGATATCACCTGTATGAACAGAGCTTATACAGTGCATAAATTCATGTATCTGGAAGAAATGTACATATAAGTGCGTAAGGCTTTCTAATTGTTCCGTAAAATGCTCAACAAGCATAATTCTACGGGAATACTTATTTCACTTGTTTACGCAACTCTCAACGAAGTACTATTAAATTATGTAAAGTGCACTAGTTTCGAATATCGTTAAAGAACAAAATTTCTAGAGTGATTCGTCAGAAGGTTAGAGAATTCATGCTTGAATCGCAACAATAAGCTGCTCAATGCAATTCGGATTATCAACTTCATGAGCAGCTGTGGAGTCAACTGATTGAAATGATTATCGTAGCAAATCTAGAAAGAGAGCTCATGAAGATGATGAAGTGTTCATTTCTAGATGTCAGAACTGAGTGTGTTAATTACGAGGCAGTACAGGAAATTGAATATCAAAACATCATGAACTTCACTACTTACTTGATTATCCCAGTATAAGATACATTCAAGGTCATGCAAATAGCAATTCAACGAGTAATTGCAAAGTAGAACACGGAGGTGGTAAATTTCACTCACGTAATTCCTGTGTATTTCGTAATGATAAATGCTCAAAATGTTGTAAAATCAGTTATATCGGGTCAGTTTGTTGAGCCACTGTTAGTTCAACTCCTAATGACAATAAACCATGTAGTTCTGATTCGGTGAAAACGGTTTTGATGTACGTTTGTTTACTTGATTTCGTAGACAACTGCGAGATTTGTGCGTGTTGAAGATGTTAGATCCTTAAAAATTACTTGGTAAATGCATTATTTTGTAACCTGAATTGTACTAGGAAAGATGTTGAGGATGATAAAATTGTGGCACGTTTCCTCACATCCATCAGCCTCTATATCTCTATGTGCAGTATGCCAACGGTAAGACTGGTTGACATACAAGACACTATATCGACGTGCATCGAAAAGTTAGCACAGTCTACTAGACAGTATGTTCTATCAATGCTTAAATCTAAAATTTGAAAAAACTAAAGAGTATGTTCACACTTGTAACATTCATATACATTTAGAATAATGTTCAAAGAATGTTCAGTATTTGGGCGCGATACAGAGTGTTCCTAGGTGTGAATTCCGCGTGCGAGTTCATGATGACCCATTGCTGAGTTATTGGGAAATTACAAATACATTCCTGCTTCCTATCCTTGCGCTTCAAAGGAGATGAAGTCAGCGGAATTATCAATCACAGAATTAATTCCGCTTTAAAAGTGACCTACCCGGCAGCCAAACTGACAACGTTATGGAAAACATACTGCTCACTGAAACAAACGAAAATCGACAAGTCCTCTCCCCTCAGTTGCTCCAACTGCATTTACCAATTCACATGTACGTGCCGTAGCACATTAATTGGAAGAACTGAGAGAAGAGTACAGGTTCGCATTTCTGAGCCTATTCCGAAGAACTTGACTCTGCGAGGGACTAAAGCCTTTAACAGTGCAATAACTCAGCATCTACTTGACACCGGGTATACCGTCGATATTACATTATCAATAGACAAAGAACTACTACCACTCTCCGCTTTGCTGAAGCCATTGCAATTAATAAACTGAAACCGGACTTATGCATCCAATAAGAGACTTTAAAAAACTTATCACTACCCTGGTAATCTTTTTGTAATCTTTTTTTTGTTTCTGTTTGTTTGTTTTGTGTTTTGGTTATTTTATTCATTTACTTATTCTAAGATAATTTATACTCCCCCCCTATTACCTAATTCTTAAAATAAATTTTATTCACACATTTCCACCACCTGATCCTCTTAAATCATCTTAACTTTCCAAACCCTATTTATATTATTATTACGTAATCTACCTTATGTGTTATTTAATTCCATTAATCTCTACAATTATCACACAATTTATGAACTTCACTAAATTATTACACCACCCACCCTGGATTAACCCCCCTCTTTTGACCTCTGACCTGTTTCTAGCATATATATATATATAGTTATTATTGTAATCAAGTTATTGACACTCATTTATGTCAATTGTTTTCACACTATCTCCATGTCAAACAAATTCTATCACAATTTTGGTTTGTAAGCAGCCGAACGACAAAACCTCGAAATAATATGAATTCATACTATTCTGCATCAATGTTTGTTCTTGTTCTATTTAATCATTTAGTATTATGACGTTTGTTTTTTGTCGCTTTTCTTCCTTATCTGTCAATTGGACTGATTATCTGACCGATAAACGATTTTCTTCCTTACCCCTTGATTAGTACGTTAACCTCATTTGTTATTTAGTCTCAAATGTGATACAGTCCTTTCTATCCCTCTGTAGACATACGTTTTGCATATCTTACTATATATACGAATATACAGCTTAAGTAAATGATTTCGTCGAAAAAAGAAAGATTTCTTTACTAAATACTGTTTTTCTTATTTAATGATACTATGGGTTATTATAATAATTCAAATGTATTTAGTTAACCAAATTGATATCATTAGTGAAATCAATTGAAATACGGTGGTTTTTGTTTGTTTCCTGATTGATTTGATGAGACGTATAATTTATGGATGACCTATGAGTAACAACGAAGTAAGCTGCAAACTATCCACCAAATAACTGAAGCAGCTAAATGAGGATGAAAAACCTGTGAGAAAATTAAAGATTATGAATTACAATTGATGGTTCAGGGTTAAGAATCAAATTTAGAGGCGGGGGAAAAGTGGGTTTTCATCACCAATTGACATGAGCAATCATGTCAAAAACTCTAATTAACCATAATTCAAAACTTGTTATCTTTCCACTGATTGGTTAATTGAGAAATGCATGCATGCATGCATGCATTTATGTACGTACCAGTCACTTACTATCTTTGTTTATAATGCTTGTGAATTAGGGTGATATCGAGACAATCCTTGAAGGATGCACATATGTTAATAAGAGATTGATAAATTGCAGTCCTTAACATCAATGAGAAGATTGAAGTAAAAATGTGCCAAGTGAATTTTAACTTACCTCCATTGCACAGACATGTGGCTTGCAGGACTCAGTAGCTATGTGGATAACGCGAACAATACTAGATTCGATTTCCATAATGAACATCAACTCTGAGATGCTGTTACATCCAACTGAAGAGTTCCGAATAGAACGAAACACGCGTCAAACTGTGTTCCACTACCAGCCACTATCCATCTTTGCTTAGATAAGTAATTAGCTCGTTAAGAAGAACAAATTGTCGTGACTTTGTCTCATTTGGAAAGTGTTAGAATTGTCCGAGTGAAACGAATGTAAAATAATACGAAGCGAATAATAGAAATGTAACACTTCAACTCATCTGAAGTTCTCTTAATTAATCAAACGATGTTTGTCTTTTCTTAATTCCTATTTATACAGAATAATTGAGCAGTATCCAATGATGTGTTTACCCAATCTTTACCGTAGAGTAAATACGACTTACGTTTTGAGCAACTAGATATCGAGTAGGCTAATATGGAATAGTATATGGTTGGAGGTAGTCTTTCTTAAGTCTACATGAAGTCTTAATAGCTAGATAGTTACGTAATGGATTATAAAGCTGAATGACTTGATTTGAATCCTCAAAGGAACATCAATACCCTAAAGATGATAGATATATCTTTGTGATGAGTGTCAAATAACATGAAACGTACTTGTGTAGTTATCTACTAACTACCTTCAACTACTTCACATTCATATTTCTTTATTATATTTATTAATGTGTGTTAAGTTTGTCTTATATTGTTCCTACTCACTCCCTCTCCATTCCTTTTATATTGTGTTCTATACTACTTATTTACATTCAGTAAGCAGTTGTAATCCCAAAAGTCTTTACACTTAAGTTGTAATGCAAGTTGTAGTGTAATATTCTGAAATATTCACATATACTTATAACGTTTATTGTACTTATCATTGTATTTATCATTATAATTAATGTACCTTGATCACTGTAGTGGTTATCCACATTTTCCATGATGTTTTGCTCTTGATTCGGGTTTCGGTTGTTCATAAACTGTTATCAAATTTAAACACAGCTATCAACCGTCTTTTGTACTATCGTGTGCTGTAATTATTGTTTATGTTACTGTTACAGGAAGCCTTTTTATTTACATACTTGAACGACGTGTTTAAACGCCCCAGACACTTCACAAGTTGAGGTTTATAACTACATTTTGTGTATTATTCAATAAAGAATCGCTATATTAGAGAAATCGTTGCTTTGGAAACTGCGATTTTGCGCGTATCTCAATCGGCTGACTTGGACACTCCGAAATACTTTACTACTCTATAAAGATGTTTTAGACTACTTATTACAATGTTATAAGTAGTTGAATTATCCTGTTCTAGTTTTATTTTTCAAAACATCAATGTAATTTTTAATGGAAACTGAAGCAACAAATCCTTTATTTGTCTACCCAGACATTGTTATGCGCATTCTATACTTGCAGGAGTTTTACACTATAAAAAACAGGTTCCTTCAATCAGACAATCCATGTAATGAACGAATGGATCATAAAGCATTAGGATAAACACAAAATGTTTTCTCTTCTCAAGCAAAAATGGATAGAGGCTAGTAGTGAAATCCAAGACGTGCGTTTTGTTATATTTGGGACTCGTCATCTAGATGTACCCGCATGGCAGAGTTGATGATCCCTCCGGTACTCGAACCCATCTACTGCACCCCCAAAATAAGAATGGAAAGATACAAGTAAAACAACACCAAGTGAATGTAATCTCTTATAGTTTATTTAATCATTTCTACAGATCACAATTGTATCAAAGGTGTATGAATACCGAACTATTCAAATGAAGGCTTTGAAGTGTTAGTTAAATTATTCCCTTTATCTATCATCAGATAGAACGAGAAAAGTGCAACCTCTTTTAAATAAACACGTTTCAAAATGACTTCCATGTAAGATCTTAAAGAGTAGGCAGTTACATCATAACAAATCTGCAATTTTAGGTTCAAGTCTGGAATTAGAGCACTACTACTAGTATCATAGTACACCATAGTTCTACACTCACAATAC